AACAAGAAAGCTAATGGCAGAGCCAATGCCAGCAAAAGCATTGTGCCGGTTGTTGCGCCCTGTTCTAAGTGTGGAAGGACACATCGTAGCGAGTGCTTACAAGGGAAAATGTCTATTTTCGATGTGGCAAGCCAGGACATATCATTAGGGATTGTCCCACACATACCCAGAAGAAGGATGATAACAGCGACCAGGACCAGAAAGGAAAAGCACGAGTTTTTGCAGTGACTCAACAGGATGCAGAGGAAAACTCTAATGTCATAGCAAGTACTCTACTGATAGCCAATACACCTGCTTATGTATTGTTTGATTCAGGAGCTACACACTCCTTTGCTTCAACAACTTTTATGGCTAAATCTAGTATTACCTGTGATAAGTTGGAAGGTACATTAGAAGTTAGTATTCCTTCGGGCAACCCTTTGAATACTGATAGAATAGCCAAGTCAGTAAGTATCGAAGTTGAGGGAAAACCAATGGAAGCAAACCTATACCTAATAGAAATGAAGGATTTTGATGTAATACTAGGCATGGATTGGTTAGGTTGTAATTACACCACCATCCGATGTAAGGAAATGGAAGTATCATTTCAGAAACCAGGAGAGGAACCATTTTCGTTCCTTGGAATGAAGACGAAACCCATTATTCGACTAGTATTGGCTTTACAAGCTCAAAAGATGTTGAGAAAAGAAACATGTCAACGATATCTAGTAAGTATCTAAGGAGGAAAATAAGAGACGATAAGGGTTGAAGATGTACCAGTAGTACGGAAATTCATAGATGTGTTTTCAGAAGATCTATCTGGTATTCCACCCGATAGACAAGTGGAATTCACCATAGACCTAATTCCCGAGGCGGAACCAGTATCTAAGGCCCCATACCGAATGGCCCCAAAGGAACTACAAGAATTAAAGAAGCAGTTGCAAGAACTCCTAGATATGGGCTTCATACGACCAAGCGTATCTCTATGGAGTGTGTCGGTGTTGTTTGTAAAGAAGAAAGATGGAAGCATGAGGATGTGGATCGATTATAGGGAGATAAATCGATTAACCATCAAGAATAATACCCACTCTCGAGGATCGAGGATCTGTTAGATCAACTGAAAGGAGCTAAGGTATTTTCTAACAGTTTAAATTTCAAACAGTTTTCCAACCCAATTGAGACTTGACAATTATGCTAGTGTCAAACAACGTCTCAAAAATTAGTGTACAAAAAGCAAAGTTCAATCGGTAAAAACCTTGCTACATGTACACTATGGTGTACACACTTTAGTTTAAACTTTGCCACGTGACATTGCCCAGTTGGATAGTTTAAATTTCAAATAGTTTTCCAATCCAATTAACACTTGACAAAATGCAAGTGTCAAGCAACGTGTCAAAAATCAGTGTACAAATAGAAAAGTTCAATAGGTAAGAACATTGCTTCATGTACACTACGATCTACACTTTATTTTACACTTTTCCACGAGACATATCCCTCTTGGATAGTTTAAATTTCAAACAGTTTTTCCATCCAATTGACACTTGACAACAATGCAAGTGTCAAACAACGCGTCAAAAATCAATGTACAAATTGTAAAATTTAATCGGTAAGAACCTTGCTAACACTATGATGTACACTTTAGTTTTCACTTTGCCACGTGACATTAACCGGTTGGAAAGTTTAAATTTCAAATAGTTTTTCCATCTAATTGATGCTTAACAATAATGCAAGTGTCAAACAACGTGTCAAAAATCATTGTACAAATAGAAAAGTTCAGTCGATAAGGACCGCGCTACATGTACATTTTGAAGTACACTTTAGTTTACACTTTCCCACATGACATTACCCTGCTGGACAGTTTAAATTTCAAATAGTTTTCCCATCGACTTAATACTTGACAACATTGCAAGTGTCAAACAATGTGTCAAAAATCAGTGTACAAATAGCAAAGTTCAATCGGTAAAGAAAGCACTATATGTACACTATGGTGTACACTTTAGTTTACACTTTCCCACATGACATTACCATGTTGGACAGTTTAAATTTTAGATAGTTTTCCCATCCAATTGACACTTGACAACAATGCAAGTTTCAAGCGACGTGTAAAATATCAATGTACAAATAGCAAAGTTCAATCAGTGAGAACCTTGCTACATGTACACTATGGTGTGCACTTTAGTTTACACATTGCCATGTGACATTACCCTTTTAGATAGCATAAATTTCAAACAGTGTTACCATCCAATTGACTCTTGACAACAATGCAAGTGTCAAACAACGTGAGAAATATCAGTGTACAAATAGCAAAGTTCTGTCGGTAAGAACCTTGCTACATGTACTATGGTGCGCACTTTAGTTTACACTTTGCCACGTGACATTACCCTGTTGGACTGTTTGGACGATTTAAATTTCAAATAGTTTTCCCACGCAATTGACACTTGACAATATTGTAAGTGTCAAACAACATTTCAAAAATTAGGGTACAAATAGCAATGTTCAATTGGTAAGGACCTTGCTACATGTACACTATAGTGTACACACTTTAGTTTACACTTTATCACGTGACATTACCTTGTTGGACAGTTTAAATTTCAAACAGTTTTCTCATCCAATTGACACTTGACAACAATGTAAGTGTCAAACAACATGTCAAAAATTAGTATACGAATAGCAATGTTCAATCGATAAGAAACTTACGAAATGTACACTATGGTATACACTTTAGTTTACACTTTGCCACATGAAATTACCCTGTTGGACAGTTTAAATTTCAAATTGTTTTCCAACCAAATTGACACTTGACAATAATACAAGTGTCAAACAATGTCTCAAAAATTAGTGTACAAATATCAAAGTTGAATTGGTAAGAACCTTGCTACATCTACACTATGGTGTATACACTTTAGTTTAAACTTTGCCACGTGACATTACCCTGTTGGACAGTTTAAATTTCAAACAGGTTTCCAATCCAATTGACACTTGACAACAATACAAGGGTTAATAAACATGTCAAAAATCAGTGTATAAATAGCAAAGTTCAATCGACAAGAAGCTTGCTACATGTACACTACGTTGTACACTTTAGTTGACACTTTGCCATGTGACAATACCCCGTTGGACGGCTTAAATTTCAAATAGTTTTCCAATCCAATTGACACTTGACAACAATACAAGTGTCAAACAACGTGTCAAAAACCAGTGTTCAAATAGCAAAGTTCAATCGGTAAGAACCTCGCTTCATGTACACTATGGTGTACACTTTAGTTTACACTTTACCACATGACATACCCCTATAGGACAGTTTAAATTTCAAATAGTTTTTCCATCCAATTGATACTTGACAACAATGCATGTGTTAAACAATGTGTCAAAAATTACTGTACAAAATAGGAAAGTGTAATCTGTAAGAACCGCGCGACATGTACACTATGGTGTACACTTTAGTTTACACTATGCCACGTGACATTACCCTGCTAAACAGTTTAAATTTCAAACTGTTTCCCAATCCAATTGACACTTGCCAACAATGCAAGTGTCAAACAACATGTCAAAAATTAGTGTACAAATAGCGAAGTTCAATTGTTAAGAACCTTACAACATGTACACTATGGTGTACACCTTAGTTTACACTGTGCCACGTGACGTTAACCTATTGGTCAGTTTAAATTTCAAACTATTTTCCATCCAATTGACACTCAACAACAATGCAAGTGTCAAACAACGTGTTAAAAATCTTTGTACAAATGGCAAAGTTCAATCGGTAAGGATCGTACTACACGTACACTATAGTTTACACTTTCGTCTACACTTTGCCACGTAACATTACCCTGTTGGACAGTTTAAATTTCTGTAATACCCCGAACTTCACGTTCTACATTTGGCCAATATGATTCATGCATTCCATGCTAATTACATTGTCATTTGTATCAATTTCCTGATTGCCTTCTCTTAAAATGATGCATTTGATCATCAAGGCTTTAAAATCGTTACATGATGATAACCTTCGACTCTTCGATCTAGGTGGTGAATTTTATATTGAGCTATGATAGAAAGTTAGATTAACTAAATGTTGGAGATTGGCTTGGTAAGTAATGTAATATTTGAAAGGCCGAAAATTTGTATCAACGAAGGTTCAAGCTTTCCATTCGGCTAATCGAGGTCAACTTAAACCCTAGATAGGTAATTCACATATTTGGGACATGAGGGATGAAGTGACATTATCACACCGTAATAATATATGTCTTATATGACATTATAAATATTGAGGTGCGAATTGTTGAAATCGGTTGAGAATCGGGTAAGAAATTAAATGAACGGTTGAGGAATTAGTTCTATGAAATACTTTGGGATCTTAGGACAAGCGAAATGGATTGTAAACATGTCAAAATAAGCCGAGGATACTTGGTTTGTGCCTGCAAAGATAGATATAAAATCAGATTTTGCTACAAGTGACCACCTCATGCTTGAACACCTCGCGCTTGGGATGTTTGTCATTTTAGCACTCAATTCCTTCAACCTTAAGCCTCCAACACGCCCTATAAGTCCTTAGAACTTTACACAAGATATTTATAACTCTTGTAAGTCACATATGGCTCCATGTGGTGCAAGGGAGAAGTCAAAGTTGGCTGCAAGAAGCCACCTCCTACTTGGACAGTTCATGCTAGGGGATTTTCACTTTAATATATAATTGCTTCAACCCTAAGGCATAAATTTCGTGCCTAATCCCCAAGGACTTAATATATGATGAATATATATCTTAAATATCATAAATGGACACAAAAATAATGGTAGAAAAGCCAAGTATTGCAGCCAAGATGACAGCTCCAGCTTAGTGACTCACCTTGATTGCTTGAGGTGGCTGCGGCCCATGATATCCTTAATCCTTAAATAATATGCACGACTTCAACTATTTAAAGACCACTCATTTACCTCCTAGATAATATATTAGCTGCCTGAACTCGTCCCTAAGTGATTCCAAGTGAAAAGAGGGTGAAACAGCCAAAGAGAATTAGAAGCAAGAAGCTGGAATTTCTGAACAGCTTTGTTACTCCACAGTTTTGAGGTTTGTTTCTATTATTTCTTAAGGGGTTTATGATTTCTTGAACATCTGAAGTTTTTTGTGATTAAGTTGGAGTGTTTTTAATGATGTTATGATGCCTAAATAGGGGTAATTAATGGCAAGAATTTGAAAGAAATTAATCTGGACAGAGATGAGGAATTGCTGGATTGAGTGATTTATACCTTGATTTTGGGAGATACTTAGTGTTTAACTTATATATATCAATATGAACGTTTTTATATGTAAGTAGGGAGTGTATAAATGATTTTAATGGCCTAGGATTCTGTTGGTATCATAATAATAAAATGGAAACCGAAAAGAGTCAAAGGGAAAAACTGCCTGATTTTGTGTAGTGGAAAATGGACTGTTTTTGAAGCTCCAAACACTTAATTTGTCACAATGTTATGATCTGATTATCTTCACATATATGTTATAGGTGTGTGGTAAAAGTTTGGGAGCCGTTAAATGTAGGTAAGGACATGAAAAATAATTTGAAAAATGAGTGGGCGGTGATGGAAACCTAGAAAACAGATTCTGTCCATCTGGGTATTTAATGTGATTTCAACATTTAGATGTCCCCTAATGAACTCTTGGGCCTAGAAAATATATCCTAAGGAATACTAGGTTGTCGAAAAAAATTTGATGACATTGACGTTCATAATTGGACTCTAGAAATAGCGAGACTTATGGGATTAGTTTGTAATGCCATCGGCAACTTGAAATAATGATTTTGTCTAGATTATTTTGGCATGAATGGACGTATTTTGGGATTGTGTGTATTAAGATTATTAAATGGAGGATTGTATTTAATATTAGATGATAATACAGGCGACTTTTCGACGTTGAGCGAAAAAGGGAATTGATACACACTCCATAGGAGCTTACACACATAAAGGCGAAAGGTAAGTGAAAATTCATTTGCAACTACGATGCAAGAACCTAGTATATGTGACATAGTAATGTTGAGATATCTACATAACTTTGATAAGAGGCTTATAGCACATCATATGGTGGTTACGATCATTGAGAATGAGGTTGCTTAACCTATAGACAGCGATTTGCATTAAATATGTCATTCATGAGCATTTTCATATGCATGCACGACATGTGATTATGGTTGAAAATCCTGCATGCAAAACATGATTTCAAAGTGAGTTTTCTTTATAAATGTTTTATTGACCACTACTAGGGCACCGAGGCATGTGAGGTATGCTTATGTGATATGTTTGGCATTGCGGGTGTTACTTCCTGGGTGATTGCAAAGGTAGACAGGGGATGGGCCTTTGGTGATCACGGGAGGGCGGACCACTCGACTATGCCCTTGTTATGATTATTGGCGCTGTCGGGTGGGAGACTTCTTGGGTGATCATAGGGGTAGTTAGGGGATGGGCCTCTAGTGGTCACGAGAGGATGGTCCACTCGCCGGTGTCGATTTCATACTGGCCACTTGATTATTGATATTGATATTATGCAGAGCTCTATCCGGTGCATAGTAGGTGGGTCAAGGGCCTAATGAAATGAAAGATTTCAAGTGAAATGATTTCTAGTCGACTTTGACGAACATTGAAATATGATATTTTTATCGTGATATTTCAAGTAAATGGCATGGTGTCATATGTTGTTATTACTCATGTTCAGGACATGCATGATTTTGCTTACTAAGCATTGGCTTATGTAGTTCTTGCATTGTAGGTGAACATTGAACTACATAGAGAGCATGGCTAGCTGTGGAGCTCCTACAAGATTCCAGAGTTCGATGTACATGGAAATAACCTTGCTACGCGTACACTATGGTGTACACTTTAGATTATACTTTATCACGTGACATTACCGTGTCGGACAGTTTAAATTTCAATCAGTTTTCCTATCCAATTGACACTTGACAACAATGCAAGTGTCAATCAACGTGTTAAAAGTCTATGTACAAATAGCAAAGTTCAATCGGTAAGAACCTTGCTTCAAGTACAATATGGTGTATACTTTAGTTTATACTTTGCCACGTGACATAACCCTGTACGATAGTTTAAATTTCAAACAGTTTTCTCATCCAATTGACACTTGACAACGATGCAAGTGTCAAACAACGTGTCAAAAATCAGTGCACAAATAGGAAAGTTCAATCGGTAAGGACCTTGCTACAAGTACACTATGGTGTAAACTTTAGTTTACACTTTGCCACGTGACATTACCCAGTTGAACAGTTTAAATTTCATACAGTTTTCACATCCAATTGACACTTGACAACAATGCAAGTGTCAAACAGCGTGTCAAAAATCGGTGTACAAATAGCAAAGTTCAATTGATAAGGACCTCGCTTCACGTACACTATTGTGTACACTTTAGTTTACACTATACCTCGTGACATTACCCTGTTAAACATTTTAAATTTCAAACAGTTTCCCAATCCAATTGACACTTGACGACAATGCAAGTATCAAACAACGTGTCAAAAATTAGGGCACAAAGAGCAAAGTTCAATCATTAAGAGCCTTGCGACATGTACACTATGGTGTACACCTTAGTTTACACTGTGCCACGTGATGTTACCCTATTGGTCAGTTTAAATTTCAAACTATTTTCCATCAAATAAACACTTGACAACAATGCAAGTGTCAAACAACGTGTCAAAAATCAGTGTACAAATGGCAAAGATCAATCGGTAAAGATCATGCTACATGTACACTATAGTTTACACTTTAGTCTACACTTTGCCACGTAACATTACCCTATTGGACAGTTTAAATTTCAAATAGTTTTCCTATCCATTTGACACTTGGGAACAATGCAAGTGTCAAACAACTTCTCAAAATTAAGTGTACAAATAGCAATGTTCAAACGCATAATAACCTTGCGACATGTACACGATGGTATACACTTTAGTTTACACTTTGCCACATGAAATTACCGTGTTGGACAGTTTAAATTTCAAACAGTTTTCCTACCCAATTGACACTTAACAATAATGTAAGTGTCAAACAACGTCTCAAAAATCAGTGTACAAATATCAAAGTTCAATCGGAAAGAACCTTGCTACATGTACACTATGGTGTACACACTTTAGTTTAAACTTTGCCACGTGACATTACCCTGTTGGACAGTTTAAATTTCAAACAATTTTCCAATCCAATTCACACTTGACAACAATACAAGTGTCAATCAACGTGTCAAAAATCAGTATATAAATAGCAAAGTTCAATCGGTAAGAAGCTTGTCACATGTACACTACGTTGTACACTTTAGTTTAGACTTTGCCACGTGATATTACCCTGTTGGATAGTTTAAATTTCAAATAGTTTTCCAATCCATTTGACATTTGACAACAATGCAAGTGTCAAACAACGTGCCAAAAATTAGTGTACATATAGCAAAGTTCAATCGGTAAGAACCTTGCTTCAGGTACACTACGGTGTACTCTTTAGTTTACACTTTGCCACGAGACATATCCCTGTTGAACAGTTTAAGTTCCAAATAGTTTTCACATCTAATTGACACTTGACAACAATACATGTGTCAAATAACATGTCAAAAAACAGTGTACAAATAGTAAAGTTCAATCTATAAGAACATCGCTTCACGTACACTTTAGTTTACACTTTACCACGTAACATACCCTTGTAGGACAGTTTAAATTTCAAATAGCTTTTCCATCCAATTGACACTTGACAACAATACAAGTGTCAAACAATGTGTCAAAAATTCATGTACAAATAGCAAAGTGTAATTTGTAAGAACCATGCGACATGTACACTATGGTGTACACTTTAGTTTATACTCTGTCACGTGACATTACCCTGTTAAACAGTTTAAATTTCAAATGGTTTCCCTATCCATTTGACACTTGACAACAATGCAAGTGTCAAACAAAGTGTCAAAAATTAGTGTACAAATAGCGAAGTTTAATCATTAAGAACCTTGCGACATGTACACTATAGTGTACACCTTAGTTTACACTGTGCCACGTGACGTTACCCTATTAGTCAGTTTAAATTTCAAATTGTTTTCCATCCGATAAACACTCGACAACAGTACAAGTGTCAAACAACGTGTCAAAAATCAGTGTACAAATGGCAAAGTTCAATCGGTAAGGATCGTGCTACATGTACACTATAGTTTACACTTTAGTCTACACTTTGCCACGTAACATTACCCTGTTGGACAGTTTAAATTTCAAATAGTTTTCCCATCCATTTCATACTTGGCAACAATGCAAGTATCAAACAACTTGTTAAAAATCAGTGTATGAATAGCAATCTTCAATCGATAAGAACCTTGCAACATGTACACGATGGTATACATTTTAGTTTACACTTTGCCACATGAAATTACCGTGTTGGACAGTTTAAATTTCAAACAGTTTTCCAACCGAATCGACCCTTGACAATAATGTAAGTGTTAAACAACGTCTCAAAAATCAGTGTACAAATATCAAAGTTCAATCGGTAAGAACCTTGCTACATGTACACTATGGTGTACACACTTTAGTTTAAACTTTGCCACGCGACATTACCCTGTTGGACAGTTTAAATTTCAAACAATTTTCCAATCCAATTGATGCTTAACAACAATGCAAGTGTCAATCAACGTGTCAAAAATCAGTATATAAATAGCAAAGTTCAATCGGTAAGAAGCTTGCTACATGTACACTACGTTGTACACTTTAGTTTAGACTTTGCCACTTGACATTACCCTGTTGGACAGTTTAGATTTCAAATAGTTTTCCAATCCAATTGACACTTGACAACAATACAAGTGTTAAACAACGTGTCAAAAATTAGTGTACAAATAACAAAGTTCAATCGGTAAGAACCTTGCTTCAGGTACACTACGGTGTACACTTTAGTTTACACTTTGCCACGAGACATATCCCTGTTGAGCAGTTTAAGTTCCAAATAGTTTTCACTTCCAATTGACACTTGAGAACAATACATGCTTCAAACAACATGTCAAAAAATAGTGTACAAATAGCAAAGTTCAATTGATAAGAACCTCGCTTCACGTACACTTTAGTTTACACTTTACCACGTGACATACCCTTATAGGACAGTTTAAATTTCAAACAGTTTTTCCATCCAATTGACACTTGACAACAATACAAGTGTCAAACAATGTGTCAAAAATTCGTGTACAAATAGCAAAGTGTAATCTGTAAGAACCATGCGACATGTACACCATGGTGTACACTTTAGTTTACACTATGTCACGTGACATTACCCTGTTAAACAGTTTAAACTTCAAACGATTTCCCAATCCAATTGACACTTGACAACAATGCAAGTGTCAAACATCCTGTCAAAAATTAGCGTACAAATAGCGAAGTTCAATCATTAAGAACCTTGCGACATGTACACTATGGTGTACACCTTAGTTTACATTGTGCCACGTGACGTTACCCTATTGGTCAGTTTAAATTTCAAATTTTTTTCCTCCAATTGACACTCGACAACAATGCAAGTGTCAAACAACGTATCAAAAATCAGTGTATAAATGGCAAAGTTCAATCGGTAAGGATCGTGTTACATGTACACTATAGTTTACACTTTAGTTTACACTTTGCCATGTAACATTACCCTGTTGGACAGTTTAAATTTCAAATAGTTTTCCCATCCAATTGACACTTGACAACAGTTCAAGTGTTAAACAACATGTCAAAAATCAGTGCACAAACGGCAAAGTTTAATCGGTAAGAACCTTGCTACACGTACACTATGGTGTGCACTTTAGTTTACACTTTACCACATGACATTACCCTGTTGGACAGTTTAAATTTGAAACAATTTCTCATCCTATTGATACTTGACAAAAATGCAAATATTAAATAACGTGTCAAAAATCAGTGTACAAATATTAAAGTTCAATCGGTAAGAACTTTGCTACATGTTAGTTTACACTTTGCCATGTGACCTTACCTTGTTGGACAATTTAAATTTCAATAAGTTTTTCCATTAAATTGACACTTGACAACAATGCAAGTGTCAAACAACGTGTCAAAAATCAGAGTACAAATAGCAAAGTTCAATCGGTAAGAACCTCGCTACTTGTACACTATGGTGTATACACTTTAGTTTAAACTTTGCCTCGTGACATTAGCCTATTGGATAGTTTAAATTTCAAAGACTTTTTTCCATCCAATTGACACTAGACAACAATTTATGTGGCAAACAACGTGTAACATTCCGAAATTTTTTTAAGAAAATAAATAAATTATTATATTATTTTGAAAGTGAGGGATTAAGGTGAAATAAATATTAATATATTATATATTTGGGGTCAAATAATTGGATTTTGATAAAGTAATGATATGTATATCAATATTAGACTCATTTCGAAGGTCGTAATTAATTAGAAGTCTATGACTCGAGAAAAGTTATTTTGGATAAGAACGTATTAAGTTATACCCAATTGAAAGAAAACAAGATAAATATAATTTTATATAGTTTTAACCCATTTTGAATTTGATTGATTGGCTACCACATTTTTATTGGATAGGAATGGTAGTTCTTTTAGATGAAATAAAATAATGATAAAGTACAATTTTTTTATGATACGTGCCACATTGGATTTGACTTTATCAAATCAAAGTTTTGGTTTATCTACTACTCTAGCCTACACCTATAAATACTAGGCAAGGATTTCATATTTTACCACACTAAAAAATATTCACACGTGAAAGAGAGAGAAGAAAGAGAGAGAGAGAGAGAA